GGCATGAGTAACGGTTCCTAATCATCCTTTGCTATATATCAAGTTTGAAGCCATCTTAGGCTACATGAGACCTTGTCTCAAAACAAAAGCAAATCCAAATAAAATTACTATATGGTTTTAGTGTAATATTCACAGACAATGAAAGAACGATGATTTGTCAGATACTGGGAGGAAGAGGAAATGGGAAATGATTACTTAGTGGGTTTGGTTTCCATTTTACACAATGGAAGTTCTGGAGATGGGTTGCACAGGAAATGTAAACGATTACAATAGAAGTGGTTAATATGCAGCACTTAAAAGGCTAGAGGTTAATAAGATGGCAAATTTTATGTACATTTAGAATTAAAAAAAAAATGTTGCTCAGCAGTGGTGGCAAGATACCAAGCTGGGTATGGTGGCATATTCCTTTAATCCCAGCACTGGGGAGGCAAAGGCAGGTGGATCTCTGAGTTCAAGGTCAGCCTGGTCTACAGAGCGATTTCCAGGACTGGCTCCAAGCTACATAGAGAAACCCTGTCTCGAAAAAACAACAACAACAAAATGCCTGGCAGTTAAATCAGCCATTATCCTTTTGGAAGACTAACCATAAATGTCAGGAACAGGGGCACACTCTACTCCCAGTACTTGAGAAGCAGAGGCAGGGGGCGTCTACAAGAGTTTGGTCTACATAGTGTCAGTTCAGGCCAGAGCTACATACACACTTAAATGTAAAACAACCATAATAACAAAAGCTCCCTTTTCAAATCTGTCCCTGTTCCATCTAATTTTTTTGTTACGGTTTCTGCTCTGTTTTCATTAGATCTCAGCTTGACACGACAGAACTAATCCACAAAACAGAACAGAAAAGTGAAGATACAGATCCAAGTAAACCAGGAATTTGACATAGAAAAGCTACATCTGAAATGGTCATAGACAAATGTCTTTCTAATTGCTACAGGGTATAAATACATTCTCACAACCATGGACAAATGTTCAGCCAATTGAAAAGCATACACACTGCATTCCTATTGCACGATATCAAACAAAATAAGCTTAGGTAGGAGAGTGGCTTAAAACAAACACTGAAACTGGAATGCCAGAAGAAAACGTGACAAAATTCCAAATACTCTCAGTGCAGAAGCCCTTTCAAAGTCACTAAAACACATAAAAGATTTGGGATTTAGCTATATAAAAAATGGAAAATGCTGCCGGGCTGTGGTGGCGCACACCTTTACTTCCAGCATTTGGGAGGCAGAGGCAGATCTCTGTGAGTTCAAGACCAGTCTGGTCTACAAGAGCTAGTTCCAGGACAGCCTCCAAAGCCACAGAGAAACCCTGTCTCAGAAAACAAAAAACAAAACAAACAAACAAAACAACAGGAAAATGTCTACATCCTCGAGAGGAGGAGGAAGACACTAAAAGCTAAAAGCAATGCTGTGAATAGAGCCAGGAGGCCTTGACAGTGGGGACCTGGCTCAGCTGTGCCTGCTTCCCTGTCTACCATAAGGAAGTCTGGCTAACAAGTTCGACACAGAAATCTAGTGAGAAGGATAAAGCACTCAGGACATCCACTCCTGAACCACAGACATGGATAGAAGTGTTGCTATGGAGAGGTTGTGGAGGAGCCCTGGGTTTGGTTTGGTTTTATGTTTTCTTTTGTTTCCCACCTAGGATTAGCTTTACCATAAGGGCACAGATTGGTGTATGATTTATCAGCTAGCTCCCCTTCCGCTCAGCCGCCATAGGTACTCTCTGGTGTCTCCTACCACTACATCATCCTACTTTGGGTGGAGACACCTTAGCTAGGAACAAACGACTAACCTTAGAAATAAGTGGCTCAGCAGTTAAGAGCACGTGTTGCTCTTGCAAAGTTCCCAGCACTCACATTGCTCACACCTTCAGCTGTCTGTAATTTCTAGTTTCAGGGATTTGTCGCCATCTTCTGGCCTCAGAGGGCACCAGGTACACATGCAGTGGGCTTACTTTCCCACAGGCAAAACATTTATACACTTAAATGAATTTTTTTTAAAAAAAACAAACGTATATCAGTTTTCCAGTTATTTACATGATGTGAAAAATGACAGGCTGGCCAAGAGCAAGAGGCACAGAGACACTGTGTGCTGCTGTGTGAGGCCAATGGCTCATCAGCACTGAGTCCTACCTAGTTCCTACGCTAACTTCTGGTTCAAGAGACAACACCTTTTTTCTCCTCTACACAGAGGCTAAAAAATGCTGTTTGGGTATGGTCTTTCATTTGTTAATTCTATAGAATTTTAAGTGGCTACTATTTGTAATTGCTTAAGATGTACCAATAATCAAGTTGTCTTCTGGCTTCTGCATGTGATGAACTATGGCTCAAGTGGGCCACACACTTATGTGCACGCTAAAAATATAATTTAAACACTTTTTCCTCTTTGTAAGTTCATGATCTCAGTGACAGAAAACTAAAATAGCGATGAACTTGACAAGTGTGAGGAAAGCAAGGGTGAGGACAGAAGCTGAGGAGTTGCAGGAGTGGATCATAGATGACCTAGCAGAACCCAGCAATGACTTGGGCTCTACTTTTATCATTTATTTTATTTGTTTTTTTGAGACAAGCTTTCCTGGAACTCTGGATCCTCCTGCCTCACCTCCCGCCTCTCCTCCCCATCACCGAAATTGTGTGTACCACCAGGACCAGCTGACTCTGACTTCGGATGAAACGAGGAACGTTAGAGTTTTGAGCAGAGAAACCTGTGATCTGCTGTTTTAGAATTCTAAGGTCGTACTGAGTTTGAGGAAAGAGTTAAGAGGACACCAAACCCAGCCTCCCTTGTTGCGGGTAGGGAGAGCTCCCCGTCCCTGGCTTTTTGCGCCCAGCAGCCTGGTTGGAAGGCAGAGGGACTCCCGACAGATCCTGTAGGTGGCGATGCTACCCCACAGTGACCAGTGCTCTATTTTGCAGAGAGCCCCTCAGCAGCATGCACCTTCTAGCTTGCCAGCTCCTCTCTCCCAAATCCAAATCTCCCAAAGGAGACAAAAGCAAGCAAGAGCCCCCCCCCCCCCCCCCCCGCAGTCCCTTCTTGGGCTTCCGGGGAGCACTGGGTAAAAGGAAGAGAGGAGTTGCCGGGCGTGGTGGCGCGCACCTTTAATCCCAGCACTCAGAACTCAGAGGCAGGCAGATATCTGAGTTCGAGGTCAGTTTGGTCTACAGAGCGAGTTCCAGGACAGGCGGGGCTACACAGAGAGACCTAGTGTCATAAAACAGGAAGAAGGAAGGAGGGAAGGAAAGATGGAAGGAAGGAAGGAAAAGCCTCTGGGCCTTGGAGGCAGAGAGAAGGCTATCAGCAGTTCGGTGTGACCCTTGCCCTTCCAGGGGAAGATGTGGGTGTTCCTAGCACACGAGTTGACTCACAACCAGTTATATGACTCCAGCTCCAGCGGATCCCTCATGCTCCATACATTCACACAGACACAAATGCATTTAAAAAGAAAATCACTGAGCCCACTTCTCTCTGGGGAGTCACCATCTAACTGGTTTCTGTAGCTTGCAACAATGTTCCTGTTTTACTTCTCCAGCTTCCTCCTTTACTTTTTTTTTTTTTTTTTTTTTTTTTTTTTTTTTTTTTTTTTTGGTGTCACCCAAACCCATCAATTGACTGCTGAGGATATATGTGGTTCAGAGGTAAAAGGTCATCTAGAATGCACAAGGTCCTTTTTGAACTTCAGCACTGTAAAATAAAAAAGGACTGACAAGATGGCTCAGCAGATGAGCCTGACATCCTGGGTTCCGTCCTAGGTCTAGATGGCAGAAGAAGAGAAAGGACTCCCAACGTCCTCTAACCTCCACAAGCAAGCTGTGGCAGGAGCGTGAGTACACACACACACACACACACACACACACACACACACACACACACACACCAATTGATCAATAACAGTTTTTTTTAACATTACATAAAGTCATAAGTTCATCATTCTTGCTGCGTACCTGTGTTGCTTCTGCATACTTTGGGGATATCAAATACTAAAGGTCCCAAGAGTTGCACAGGTGGTGTAGATCTGTGACGCTCATTGTGCAAGGTACTAGGTACAGGAGGAGACTGCTGAACTAGGAGGCATACCAGTAAAGTTGGTGCAATTGCTCCTCAGTTCCTCCAGTTGTGATATAGGAATATACATCCAAATGGAGGCAGCTGTATGAGAAGCCAGAAATTTGATTTTGCATTTAATGGGAAACAATGCAGTTGTAATATTGGCAACTAGTATTTTTTAAATGATGTTAGGAAGTAGAACTCATCATTAGGAATTAAATGCATTAGTAGCTGCCAATTTTTGACCACTGGTCCAAATCACCATTCTGTTAAGACTATTAAAATTTCTTCTTCGGGCTTCTGTTTCTAGCCTCTCTCACCTCCATACACTTGGCTCACGGTCACCTGGAAACCTCCCCAGTACCCAAGTGGCACCAGTTCATTCTATTGCATCTCTCCTCCCTTGCCACTGCCTACCCCAAGCTACCCATAAGATGAAGTCTAGCTGATTCAGAGGCTGCCAGACTTCTCACTGACTAGCCCAATTCAATCAGTTATCCCATCCCGTACTTCCCTGTGCTAACACCCATAAGCCCCTTTGTTCTCTCTCCCCACTGGACCCCTCCAAACACGGGGCCACAACTATTTATCTATGCATAGGTGGACTATCTGCCACTTAGAAAGTGGCTCTTATTGTGTAGCTTTGACTGGCCTTAAACACACAGAGACCCAATTGCTTCTGTCTCACAAATGCTGGGATTAAAGGTGTGACCACCAAGCCCAGCTCCAAATATTTTTAAGCAAATAAAAGATGAATAAAGTTCACCAAGTGAAGTAGAATTGTCTTAAGGATTATTATTCGCCTACCCACTTATTCATAACTAAAAATTAAGCATCCCTTTGATAAAATAAATTTTCTTTACCCTATTCAATCCCCTGTTCCCCTAGAGGGTACATGCAACTACTCAGAGAACCAGAGAGAGCTGGCCTCCGTCCCTGTGGGTCTTCTCATAGGTAGTAGTAGCTCCTGAGAGTTTCTTTAATCTGTTTTTTCTTCAGTTTTAGTTTTTGAGGAAGTTTCCTTAAATAACCTGAAAGGACAGAAGTCAGAGAGGGTTCCAATGATACAACCACCAGTAGGAAATCTCAGGAACAGATGCAGAGTTGTAAAGAGGAATCAGAAATTTTTTTTCTCCCTGCCAGCTGTGTCCCTTTCTCTTGCTTTTCACTGAAACCTGTGAGGTAGAGAGATGACATCACCCCTCCCCACCCCCGTTTACAGGTAATTGTCCAAACATAGAGCAAGGATGTGATGTGTCCAAAACTTCATGGCAAGCTAGAGGCACAGTCAGGACCAGACCTAAGCCTGCTTGACCTCCCCCTGCTGCCCTCTCATTCCTCACCACTCATAACAAGCCATATAAAACATTGGTTATGGCACGAAGCTGTGATTCCATCATGGGGAGGTAGAAACTGGAAGGTCCCTGCATCTTAGTCAGCCAGTCTAGCCAATCAGTGAGCTCCAGATTCAATGAGAGACCCTCACCTTAAAAAACAAGGTTGGAGAAGTGACTGAGGCACTTCATCTATGCCCCACCTGTGTGACACAGGCTCCCCTCCCAAACACGAAGCAAGTTAAGATCAAAATCTCATACACAGCCAGGCGGTGGTGGCGCACGCCTTTAATCCCAGTACTTGGGAGGCAGAGGCAGGAGGATCTCTGAGTTCAAGGCCAGCCTGGTCTACAGAGTGAGTTCTAGGACAGCCAGGGACACACAGAGAAACCCTGTCTCAAGCCCACCCCAAAATCACATATACAGCCTAGTCTCATTATGTGGATGTATCTACCTATGTTTATCTAACTGCTTTTAGTTTTCTATAATAATTTTAATTTTTATAATAATAAAAAGAAAGTGGGTTGGAAAGGTAGCTCAGCTGGTAGATTCCTTGCCAAGCTTGCATGAAACCATGGGTTTGATCCCCCATACCACGTAAATCAGGTGGCCTGTAATCTTAACACTTGTAAGGTGGGGGCAGTGAGCTAAGAGTTCAAGGTCATCCTTAACTACATATGAGTTTGAGACCAGCCTGTACTATATGAGACCATGTTTGGTTGGTTTTAGTTTTTGAGACAGTTTCTCTGTGTAGCTTTGGTTGTCTTGGAACTGACTCTGTAAACCAGGCTGGCCTCGAACTCAAAGAGATCCATTGTAATGAGATATCCATCCCACCTGCGCCTGTAGTGGTGTTTGGGCATGGTCACAGGTGCAGACTTGATGGAGAGTGGGTTTAGTTCTGGGGTCTGTATAAGGGCTTCTTCTTCTTCTTCTTCTTCTTCTTCTTCTTCTTCTTCTTCTTTTGGGGGTCCTTTCTTCTTAGCCCCCTGGTTTTATTCAATCCATTTGTTGTTAGAATTGATATGAGAGTTATGGCCTTTATTCTTTGATGTCCCATTGTGTGCTTTATTTCCTCAGTTTAAACTGTAGGAACCAAGGCTACACCTGGGCCCTCAGACACAGTTCTGGACCTCACTAGGTGTTTGACTCAGGCTTACTGCCTATGATCTGTTTTCACAGCTGCTCCTGTGCCCAGTGGGATTAATGAAGGGATGCCTGAGGTCACCTTTCGTGATCTCCAGCCAGCTGTGCCCTCAGAAGAGCCACGGAGTACATGTTAGTGCTACACTGAGTTCTCCAGACCACCGTGCTTGCCTTTATCTTCCCTCAACAGGAGCAAAGGAAGGACAGCTAACTGTGGCACAGAAACCAGTTCTAGAAGTGTAGAAATAGACATTTGTCAAGTCTCTCAGTGCCTTAGTACACAGCAGGAACCCTCACAGGTTCCGGCCTTTACCTGGCCTCTTTTTTGTTTAAAAGGCGACATCTCCTAAAAGTGCACAGACCTGTGCAGAGAACCAACCATTTTGGTCACCACAGAGGTCAAAGTGGCTGGGAAGGTCATTCCCTTGCCATCTAGCTCACTGTAAGGATGAGTCCCTTGCATTTTCCCTTTATTCCATTCCATCAGAGTGGGCATCCTGTCATTGCTACCCACCCCACCCCCTGCATGGTCCATACTCTCAGCATTTAGAAACTTTCTACTCTGCTTCTAGTCATATGAGAAAGGGCCTTTATACAAAGTTACCTAAAAATACAGGATTCAAAATGTATGTACTGTGAGACCTTTCTTCTTAGCCCCCTGGTTTTATTCAATCCATTTGTTGTTAGAATTGATATAAGAGAGTTATGGCCTGGCCTTTATTCTTTGAAGTCCCATTGTGTGCTTTATTTCCTCAGTTTAAACTGAGGAAGGGGGGCTTACACAGAACACTGAAGGAACTACAGTAAATGCCAACAGTTCTGTCCTCTGGGTATTGGATATTTTTTATTTGGTCCCACACACCCCCCCCCCCCCCCCCCGACACACACACATTTATCTGCATATTTTAAAGTATATCTGGTGAAGAGATAAAAATAGAAAAGAGACTGAAGAAGGGGAAGGAAATGACAGAAGGAACGACACAGAAGGAAGAGACTATAGAAAGGAAGAAGAAAGATGGCTTGTCAGTCTCAGAGAGGATGCTCCAGCCTGTTCCCGATAACCCCCCAACTTCTCCATAGCCTCTCACCCAGGTACCTCCCCTCACACCCAGTGGGCATCACCTCCTCTGAAGTACTTTGAGGACCTTGGCTCCTCCAGCATGCCAGCCTGTTGGCAGGGGGTCTGCATCTTGAACAGCCTCTTCTTCATACCGCTGATATTTCCATGCAACCCCCCGGTGCTGCAGAGCCTGGCAAGTCTATCCTCCTGGTTGGTCGGCAAGTATCTCTCTGGTACATCCAAGGGACAGAAGGCAACCTGAAATTGGGTCCATTGTTGAGGAGAGGCTGGAGGAGAGAGGGGCCTAAATCCTATAGTACCAGCCTTCTCCAACCCCAGCCCCAGCTGCTGAGAGACTGTGGGATCTCAGACATTTCCTTAGCCAAAATGATGGGGTGGGAGTCACAGAAAAACTGGGGATGTAGGGAGGCCTGGCAGACAACTGCATCTTCTAGGGAGGTTTATGCATGCTAAGAAGTCCAAGCCCAGCCCTGCTGTGTCAGCCTACAGAAGGCCATGACTGTGCTTGTACCATTGGACCCAGATGCTTCATGTCATTCATTCACGGCAGTGCTGAGGATGGGCACCAGGGCTTCTGGTGTGCCCAGCAAGTGTTCTGCTACCCTCACCCTCAGTCAGGTTACCTCTTATTGTAAGGTTAAATCTTCCTTTTTAGCCGGGCGTTGGTGGCGCACGCCTTTAATCCCAGCACTCAGGAGGCTGAGGCAGGTGGATCTCTGTGAGTTCAAAGCCAGCCTGGTCTCCAGAGCGGGCGCCAGGACAGACTCCAAAGCTACACAGAGAAACCATGTCTCGAAAAACCAAAAACAAACAAACAAACAGAAAGCCTTCCTTTTTTTTTTTTTAAGAGTAATGATGTCTTGCTTGCTTGTTTGTAATGAAATAGTGGTGCTTGTTTTCTTTGTTTAAATCCTAACTTTAGAAAATTTAAATTGAGAGCCTGAAGATATATTTTGAAGTTATTCTGGCCAGTGAAACCCAGAAATCCAGGAGTCACTATAATGGCAACATCTTATAGTTAGAAAAGGAACTACTAGAGCCAGACACTGAGTCAAAAACAAATAGTATCAGCCGATAGCTGACTATATCCTGAGGCAGGAGGATCATTCAACCCAGGAGACAGTGTGTGCTGGGCAACACTGCAGGAAGCCCCCTCCCCTTCTCTTAAAGAAAGATGAAGGTATGTAGATGAATCTGGAGTAGAGCACTTGCCTACTTGTGTGAGGCCCTGAATTCAATCCCAGCATTGCAAAACAAAAATAAACAGAAGGAAAAGAAAAAGAATTAATAAAATGACCCAAGTATTCATGTTGGAGAACAGCAGCAGAGATGCAGAGAGGGGAAGGATTGGTGGAGCAGGTCAAGGCTGGCTTCGTACAGGGAAACAGAGATGGCATCCTGGCTGTCCTCCCCGTTCTATCTTGTGTGTTCCGGCACAGCCATCACCTCCCTGCTTTCGGATGTTTCATTGACAAATGGTGGGTAATAAGTTCTAATTGCTACTTAGAGTGACTTGTGAAGATCACAGGAAAGAATAGAAAGTGCTTGACACAAAGGCAACTTTCTCTCTGCTATTTAGGATTAGTCTTTTGAACTAGGAGCTCTCAAAGTATGCTCTGAGGCCTTGAGAGACTCCTCAGAAGGTGAGAGCTGTTCAACATGTAAGCTACAGATCACTGGATTCTAGTGATGAAACACAGCAGGGACAGTTCGCTGATACATCTCTGAGAAGGTGTGTACTGTGTGATTCCAGCCACGAGAAGGTGAAACTGTGAGTGCAGCCAGCAGTGGTGGCGCACGCCTTTAACCCCAGCACTTGGGAGGCAGAGGCAGGCAGATCTCAGTGTGTTTGAGGCCAGCCTGGTCCACAGATCGAGTTTCTAGGACAGCCAGGGCTACACAGAGAAACCCTGTCCCAGAAAAAAACAAAAACAAAACAAAACTCCAAGAGCAGTGAAAAGAGCAGTTTGCCAAGAGCTCTCAGGAAGGAAGGAGAGGGTAAGTAAATGGATCACAGAAGACTGGGGTAGTGTACCTACTCCGAAAGACACTTTAAGGGTAGGAATATTCACCATACATTTACCAAAACCTGTAACATGAGCAAGATGTGGTGGTACATGCCTATAATCCCGCCACTTGGGAGGTTGAGGCAAGGGGATTGTAAATTTGAGGCCAACAAGGACTCGAAAGCAAGACCTGGTTTAAAAAAAATCAGGGGGAGTAGTTCACAGGGCCCCACCCACCTGAGGATCTAGACTCTCAATGGATGCCTAGAGAGGACGGACATTTTTTTTTTTTCCCATTGGTGTGTCACTGTTAAGTTGCCTATGTTCTGCAAATAACCCCTTACCCATGTTACTATAATCAACTCTATATTTATTGGGTCACACACCAAAAAAAGATAAAAGGAGGAGAAAGTTAGTTGGGAAAAAATCAGTAGAATGTGTGTGTGAGGTAAGAGGATGATGTGGAGAGTGAACATGATCAAACCACATTTTATGCATGGATGAAAATTTAAAGACTCATTTATAGAATTAATGTTAATTTTAAAATTTTAAATAGAAACTATAAGATATATACAACACAAAACATAATCCTAATGGAAACTACAGGTCTTCTCTAGTAAGGGTCTATCAATGTTATCTTACTAAGTCTTGACAAGTATGCCTACAGAAAGGGTCTATGGCTGGGGAAGCAATGGGAATGTGGGTGGCAGGAACTGGACACAAATATTCCACTGATTGTCCTTTAAAGTGGTTTAAGTCTATTATTATTATTATTACTTTTTGAGACAAGGTTTATGTAGTCTTGGCTAGCCTGGACCTCACTGTGTAGTCTAGGGTGTCCTCGAACTCACAGGTCACAGAGATCCTGTGGCTTCTGCTTTCCAGTGCTAGGATTAAAGGCTTGAGCCACTATACCTGGCTAAAAGTCTATTCATTATTTTAGCTGATCTCAGTGGCACACTCCCTGAATTCCAGCACTCAGGAAGCTAAGGCAGGCAGACTGTAGATCTGATAATAGCTTAGGCTACATAGTGAGTTCAAGTGAGATCCTGTTTCAAAACAAATAAACAAAGCTTATGGGTTCTTTTTGTTTGTTTGTTTGTTTGGTTGGTTGGTTGGTTGGTTTTTCGAGACTGGGTTTCTTTGTGCATCCCTGGCTGTCCCGGCACTTGCTTTGTAGACCAGGCTGGCCTCTAACTCACAGAGATCTGCTGCCTGCCTCTGCTTCCTGAGTGCTGGGATTAAAGATGAATATCACCAGCCAGGCATTGGTGGCACACGCTTTTAATCCCAGCACGAGGGAGGCAGAGGCAGATGGATCTCTGTGAGTTCGAGACCAGCCTGGTCTACAAGAGCTAGTTCCAGGACAACCTCCAAAGCCACAGAGAAACCCTGTCTTGAAAAACAAAAATAAGATGTATATCACCACTGCCACTGCCATTACCACCTGGCTGCCTATTCTTTCTTTTCTTTCTTTCTTTCTTTTTTGGTTTTTTGAGACAGGGTTTCTCTGTGTAGCTTTGTTGCCTATCCTGGCACTTGCTCTGGAGACCAGGCTGCCCTCGAACTCAGAGATCTGCCTGCCTCTGCCTCCCAAGTGCTGGGATTAAAGGCGTGCGCCACCAATGCCCAGCCAAGACAATATATCATAAGAGACTAACTACTAAGTCAGACCTGAAATTGCAGCTGCCTCCCTTGAGCCAGACACTACAGAGGGCTGAAATAGAAAACACTACTACTTTTCTGAAAATTTTGGAAAGCAAAGTTACTTTTTCATAGATTATTTGTATATATCTCCTATTTTAATTTTCAAAAAATTTAGTAAATACACATTAAATTTTTCTTACCTCTAATCTCTAAAAGGCAAGTATGAATAGTTATAACCACACAAGCACATCTTTTGGAGTTCTCACTGATCTCAAGAAGTAAACATGTCCTGAGATCAGGGTAGCTGACAGCCACTGTGAGAGGACAGGACTAGGCTAATTCTGTGTTCAGGCCCTGGAATGTCCCCAGGCTGGCCTCAATTGTTCTCACCAATGGCTCAAAATGTCCCTGTCCCTGTTAAAACCACAGTGTGAATATGGAAGAGGAATAAATGTCATGACTTGGTAGCCCTAGTCAGCTTCCTCAGGGTGCAGTGTAAGGGGAGGTGGTGAGTGGTGGTGCTTCCTCAGCAGTGAGCTCTGGAAAGGACAAGAGGGGACAGGTATCAGAGGGCCTCTCCATCCGAGTCCTCCCCTCAGGATCTCAGAACACATGGATCAAACTCCTGCTGGGCTTCAGAGGAGCTTTCTGGAAAGCCTCACTAGGAACTTGACTGTCTGGTTGGTTTTGGTGTACTTATAGAGACGGCAAAGCTGCTTTGACTCCAGGTCTGAGAAGAGGAGACAAACCTCCAGAGCATCCTGCAGAGAGAAACCCGAGGCCAGACTGAGAGGTTGAACTGAACCCTTTCTCCCTCTGCACTGCCTACCCAGTAGAAATAGGCTGCAAGTTGCTTGCCAGTTTCAGGTTGAGGGGATGGAGGTGGAGGTCTGGGGACAACCAATAGGAGTGGATCTCTCCTTGTACCGTGTGGCTTCAAGGGATAGAACTCAGGTCATCAGGGTTAGTAACAAATGTTGAACCTACTGGAGGCTCTTGGGAATGATTTGTGTCTACTGTGTGTACAGCTAAGGAACAATCAGGGCTGCCTTGGCGGCTAGAGGGACCTGCTCTTTTCCTCTCCATGACTAGAGGATCTTGACAATAGCATCATCTTGACTGGAGGTGGATAAGGCAAGGAGGCTGCCTACCTTTTCCAGTGCTTGGTCTCCCAGGCCCGGCAGTAATGCAGCAGGAAGGTGTTGATGTGGTCCCCAAGGGCTTCAAGGCTCTGCTTTGTGTACTTTATCCGCCTCTTCTGGGAAAGGTCCTTGGGCAGGCTCAACTTTCGCAGGGACTCCTTCAGAGGCCTCAGGTATTCTTTACACTGAGGAGGTCACAGGTAAGGTGAGGGGCTGAGAGACAGGAAGAAGGGCAGGTGGACAGTCCCAAGTGTCTGGCAAACTGGCCCGACTGCAGTCCTTCTGGGGCTCACAAAGGGCTGTGTGGTGACAAGGCTCCAGTGAATTTCCCACCCACTTCCATCCTGAGTGTGACAGATCAGGTGGTGGACTTGGATCTGACGCCTCCTGAGTCCTCCCAGGCTAGTAGGGACGGGGGTCCAGGAGAGCCCCTTACAATTTTGAAGGTATCCTGGCTCAGGCCCTTGGCATGACAGACCAGAGCATCTCCAGCAGGTATGGTTCTGGAACTCTTCTCTAAGCAGGGAACACTCCCCACCTGGAAGGAGGTGGCACAGTCAGCGAGGGGCTTGGGCCTGAGGACCAGTGCCAGGCAGATTTTGGCAAATATCTTTGACAGCTAAGCCCTTCTCCATTCTCCCTATGAAAACATCATTAGGATAGTAAGCCTGGGCAAAAACAAGCCATCTCTGAATACCTCTGCTTAGAAAACCTAGAATATTTCACCTATTTTTTTCCAACAATTCTTGGCTATACTAAAAAACTTTTCAAAGCTCCTGATGAACATTAGCTCACTTTCTTTTCCCACAGTTCTTTGAGGTTAGCTATCATGAGCTCTGCTTATGTCAACAGTGAGGCATTGAGAGAACTCTGTGACTGCTTAAGAGGACGAGCCGCAATTGCCTTTTCTTTTATTTGGCACTTCTTGCGGTCCCAGGCCCGCATCTATTGATCTCTGAATCTTAGCATTATGGCATGCATCTGGAGGGCAGCCAGTAAATAACGTGGTGATTATCAGGGGTCTTATGACCCAAAAGTGGAACAAAGGGAACTGAAAAGAAAATTAGTGGTGACAAAGTGGCTGTAAAATATTACTAAAACTTTTTTGCACAGGATTAAACTGGTGTCACTGGGTTTGCATCTCATATTTTCTTTCTTTCTTCTTCCTTTTCTTTCTTTCTTTTTTTTTCTTTTCTTTTTTTTTTTTTTTTTTTTTTTTTTTGAGACAGAGTTTCTCTATGTAGCCCTGGCTGTCCTGGAACTCACTCTGCAGACCAAGCTGCCCTTTGAGATTCGCCTACCTCTGCCTCCTGAATGCTGGGATTAAAGGTGTGCACCACCACTGCCAGCTTGGGCCTCCCATTTTCATAGTCTCTCAGGACAATTAGATTACCTGCTGTGTTCAGAGAGGAAGGGCCACACTCAGAGCACTCTGAAGGGCAGCTGGGGAAAGGTAAAGAAGCACCAGGGCAGGTTCCTCCCAACTGAAGAGAGTAGTAACTCTGGCTAACTCCGTAAACACAGCCACATAACTGTACACAGACCATAACACGTATGTATGCTCACATAGGCATGGGTGAGCCTTCCTAACTAACAGTAAAATGGCACTTCCCATCATCTTGCCAGAAACACATCTTTGATAAACATGTTTACCACTTATCCCTCACTTTGTAGTTCTGGGTAATCCAACCCAGGACTAGGGCAAGCTCTCTACTACTAAGCTACACCATAGCTCCTTTTTAAAGGAATTATATTCTGTTATTCTTTGGGGCTCTTGCTAATGCACACACACCACCATTTTTTTTTCTTGTCTTCTTCCTTGAATTTTATGTTCATGGTTTTCCAAAACCAGCCCCTTCCCTGGCTCCCTCCCATCGAGCCTCACTTCACCTCCTCTAATGGCTTGAATGTGTCATTCCCTTGCCCCTCTGAGGCTTCCATCTCAACATCTGGGCTGGCAGGCTCCAGGAGAGCACTCCTTAGGTCCGCCATGGACTTCTAACTTACTGCTTCTGTGACCTGAGCTGCCCAGGTAGTGGGCAGGTTGGCTCCAGAACTTGGAGCAAAACCATGGCAACTGCCAACACAGAGCTCAGGCCTCTCTCTATCCTGTCCACTCATGCCTCAGGGTGGCCACCAACCATCTCCTCCAACTGGGAACTCAACTCGGTAAGTGAGTAAGTGAGCCAGGTGTGCTGGGTACCCAGCCCCATCCACCCCCAACACTTTTTTTTTTTCTTTTTCTTTTTGGTCGGTGCTCACAGCTGACTGGATGGCACACCTCTGGCCAGATGCTAATGATTTTAAACCCTAGTAAGGTTTTTGAGGTAACTTTCCTGGATGGATTCCACTCCTGATTCTGTAGTTACACCAGGGGCTTCTTGAGAGTGTGTGTTGGCAGAGGTGAGGTGGGGTGGGGGTTGTAACAGTCCTTTCCAGAACGAATTACTAAAGGATGTGCTGAAAGAGAGAATGGAATATAATAAATCTCTACTGAAAGACATTGCTAGTCCCTGTAGCCACCAAGTTAATAAACTGGTTATGCCGTCATTAATCCTCACCAAAACCTTCTTGGGGAGTAGGTGGCAACTACCGACCCTGTTTCATAACGAGCCCGGGTAAACGAGGTCCTATCAATTTGCCTTGGGTCAGTGGCCACTGAAACAGGTGCAAGGCTTTTTGATCCGATTCCGAGAGATTTGGCTTTTCCATCTCGTATGCCTTCGGGCTTCTGGGAGCAAACACTGTCAACAGAGTCTGCAGCTGCAAGATGGGCCTAGCTGGTAGGTGCTCAGACGCTCCAGGCTCAGTCAGGACCGAAGGCTTCGTCCCTACCAGGGCACCAGTGCCCCCTCGCGTCCTTCAGCAGCTAGCGCAGCTAGCTGCCTGGTGCAAAGACTTGCTGCTGCAGTTTGCTCAATTAAGCCATATCTTCCCTGGAACGCTGGATTCATTCTATCGCCAGGACTTCTTGGATGTCTTCAGGGGCTGGAGAGCAATTTTCCCCCACCCGGTTTGATCATGTTCCCCCTCTTCGTTGGTGGCCAATAGTCTTCCCTCTGTCCATCTAGTCCCACAGGACAGGACATGGTAGCTCTTGACAGCTTTAAGGCTGGAGGCTGGGAGGCTCTGGGATTTTGGTGATTTCCTTTTCTGTTCAGAAACTCTTAACTATTCTCTATTCGTATTCCCTGTACCATTATATTTAGGAATTTGTGGGGAGGGGATGGAGACAATAAAGTCCCTACTTCTTTACCTTCACTTTGGGAGATCTGTTCCCTGAGGGTTATTTTACAGCTAAGGACAATTATGTTGGTTAGAGGAAGGCAAAAGAATGCCTCCTAGACACTCTATGGGGAGTAGGAATTGTCAAACAATGAGTTGGAAGATATAAAACATGCATTACCTCTGCCCATTCTAAGGAGAAAAAGATTAGACAACAGTGACATTCTGGAAACCATTCTGGAAATGTCATCAATAGGATAGCTAAAATGTTATGCCACATATCTGGCACATATGTTCAAGTGTTATTCTATAGCTATACCTACTGAGAAGCGAGATGGAAATGTGATTAGCATGTGTGGCACAATTCCATTTTTGGATATACACTGAAAAGGGTATTGGAGTGTACACTTCAAAATATCAAAGGGGATTTTTTCCACCTTGCTTAGTTTTTGTACTTGTAAGCTGGACAGGGCAGGGATCTTGAAATACTAGTGTCCAGGAAGGCTGAAGCAGTAGGACTGTTGTAAGTTTAAGGCAAGTCTGGGATACACAGCACAATCTGTCTCTAGACTATATTGTTATGAAGAGACGGGTGTCGATTGGAGCGGAAGGACTACATGGGAAGGGGGTGGGTGAAGGGGTGAGGGAGGGGAGATGGGGAGGGACAATTAACACTGAGGACCATTTGAAGGGCCAAATGGAAACCTGCTACTGTAAAAAGCAGTAAACATTTATGAAAGGAATCTATATGGAGTCACCAAAAGTGGGGGAGACAATATCCCCCCTTAAAAATAAATAAAAGCTAATCAGCTACCCATAAGAACTAAATAGCAAGTCAGGTAGTAGTGGCACACACCTTAAATCCCAGCACTGGGGAGGCAGAGGCAGGTGAATCTCTGATTTTGAGGCCAACCTGGTCTATAGAGTGAGTTTCAGGATAGCCAGGGCTGTTATACAGAGAAATCCTGTCTTGGAAAAAAATTAAATGGGATTATTAAAAATTGAAAGCATAACAGACAGCTCAGGGAGTATCTCAGTTGGTAAAGTGCTTGCTTGTGCAGAATGTTGTGGGTATCATGCTCAACACCACAGAAACCAAACACACACACCTGTAATCTCAGCACCAGGAGGGAGGAGGAGGGCTATTACAAGTTCAAGTCCAGCTTGGCCTATGGTCTGTACAGACTGAGTGCTAGTGACCCAGCTATATACGGACATTTTGTTTAAAAAAAACAAAACAAAAACAAAATAAATGGGCATGTACATTACAATCCAAAAGTGACATGGATATGACCAACACTGAAAAAACAGTAAAAACAAAGATTTGAATAAGCATATAGATAATATACTACGCACACACACACACACCTACATTTCAAAAGAGAGAAACAAAAGGCTGTTCTCTTCAACACTTCCCTTTCACTCCAAAAGCCTCCAGTATGTCCTAAGCTCTGGAGAGCTGCACCATTTACATAATGGCTCTATTATCAAACATGGGGAGTAGCCTGAACAGACAACTGATAACAGTCAAAGAAATGGCTCATAATCAACATTAACTAAAACCAAACACAAATCCATTGCTTTTGGGAAACAAACATCAAAATTCAATTGGTCAGCATAAAATTACTCTGTAGGGCAAGTCAACTCATTTAACAAAGTTATTCCCTAGTCGGGCATTGGTGGCACACGCCTTTAATCCCAGCACTCGGGAGGTAGATGCAGGTAGATCTCTGTGAGTCCGAGACCAGCCTGGTCTACAAGAGCTAGTTCCAGGACAGTTCCAAAGCCACAGAGAAACCCTGTATCGAAAAACAAAAAACAAAACAAAACAATGTTATTCCTTGCAGCATTTATTTTTAGAAGCTATATACCATGGGATGGTGAGATGGCTCAGTGGATAAGGGCCTTGCCTACCTGTGTGATAGCTTGAGTTTGATTGCTAGGAGACAATCAACTCCCAAAATTGTCTTCTGTCCAGATGATGGTGACACATTCCTTTAATCCCAGAGACAGAAGCAGACAGATTTCTGAGTTTGAGGCCAGCCTGGTCTACAGAGTGAGTTTCAGGACAGCCAGGGCTACACAGAGAAATCCCGTCTTGAAAAAACAAACAAAAAAACAAACAAAAACCTGTCCTCTGACCTACACACACGCACACACCTTTCCCCAAATAAATATTTTTTTTTAAAAAAAGCTACCCACTTATTTATTAGACACCTTTGAGGGGTGTGGGAGGTGAGGTCTGCTGTTTGCCCATTTTATGCAGGTTGGCATTCTCCTTTACTGCACAGACCGGTCTCATGGTGATCATGTGTCACTCCCTACCAAGGTCCACAAGACAGAGATCCCAATATTCTTGTTATGTATTCTGAATTAAGCATGGGAAACAGTGCTTAGCATCTCCTTGAACTTTGCCTCATAGATCTGAAGATCTGTTTCTCTCCCCTGCTCTCTGAGTGGCACAGAAACTTCTACCTCCACCCCCTGCCCAAGAACTCTCCACTATTGCTTTCCTTGATAAGAAATGTAATGGTATCCTTAGAATTGCTAAAGAAGGAATTTTGATTTTAAGGAAGATTATTCAGTTATGTGACTATAATTATATCAAGACTCCTAGAAAAGGAAGGACATTCAAATTCTTAACACAGCTATAGTACTGTATCAGCAAACAGTGCCTCCAGCTCCCAGATGAGGGCCAAGGCATCCCTACTGCAAGGTCTTCAGGGTCTGAATCATTACTTAAGATAGGGCTTGAGGGAATCCACAAAGCTCTGAAAGCGCAGCTAACTGTATGTGAGAACTCATTAAAGACTTTGGGAAGCAGGCTCTAGCAGGTATAATGGAGGTGTGTGCTTTCCAGCAGTGGTTTTGGGGTTTAAATAGGTCTTTAAATCTAAGTCATGGAAGCCCTCAAATAGAGGCACTGGGAAATGTCACCCATAGGACTAGTCTTGAGCGGACAGGTGCAGAAGACAAAAAGACAGGCAGTCTAGCTAACCCTATTTCAGGCCCAAGTCCAGCACCTGGGGATTAAAGTAAGTCCAGAGCTTTCGTGACCTCATACAGTGAAGTTCAAGTGCTACATAGGCTTCCCCTGAGGTGTGGACAGGGAATTGCCTCTACCTGGACCAATCCAAGGCATCTGGGCCTGTCAAAACAGGCTGTAAGGCAAAGGCCTTACCTCTCTGACCGACAAGATGTAGATCCCGCCAAGCATAGGGGCCGTAAATATCCCTTTATCTTTTGCTACTCTCCAAACAGTTCTCAAAACATATCCTGTAGTTATTTGCCCTGCTCTTAACCGAATATTTGGTGTATTTCTACTTTAATGAAGTTTTTAGTTAATCTCACTTTTTGTCACAATGTTTTAATTTGGGTTTCTTGCTCCAAAAATATCTTGTCAGGGTATCAAAATAACACTGCAGAATGACAACCTCAGAACTTGAGAGCATATTTCTAAATAGTCTAATAATATGCAAGTGTCTGTGATGCTGTCATATCGCTGGGCCAAAGGATTTCTACTCTGTTTTCACAGGAAGGTTTTCTTTCTTGAGATGAGATGTAGAGAGATGAGTCTGAATTAATGCAGTGAGCAAACATTTGAGCTGGGAAGTATGTTAGAGAGAGAAAAAATCATATACAAGTTTTGCAACAATTTCTCCCAGGAACTCACTGGGAGAGTGAATTCCTCCTGTATTCCAGGGTACTGGATTTTG